ATAAATATTTTTCTAAGTATTATGTTACAATAAATTGGTTTAGATTTTTTTAAATAAAAGTAATCAATAATTACAATGGAAATTAAAACCATAATCATGTTCATTGAGGATTTTCAATATGTAACAGGTCAAACAGGAACTTCAATTGTGAACATTGCAGAGAACACACCCATCAGAAGATGACCCTCAGAAATAGGACAATTGTAAGTAATCAGTAAAATGAACAGGAATACTTAATGCCAACCATAAGATTTTTAGAGACATTTTCGCTTCTTAAATTAGAAGAGTTAGAGGGAAAAACTTGTACATACTACATAACTACTAGGCAACCAACCTTTAACTGCAGGAAAGCTTTTGGTATGTGCAATACAGCTACATAAAACCTCTTTAGTATTCATGTGAAGTTCGAGAAAGTACCTTAGTATTTTTTCTAGTGTTTGCCAACATTTTCATGCACACTGTTTGCTTGTTTGTACTAAGTCTATCATTTTATTTTAAATTCTTCAGATGCCCTTTACCTTTGCCAGTTTAGAATCATTTGTTTTAAGGGCATCTGAGGGTTGGTTCCAGAACTTGATTAATTGTACTATACGGTCATAGGTTATGTTAATACATGTATAACATTTTGTTCTGATAAAGGTGGCATACAGGAAAAGAAACAATACTAGATATCACTTCAAAGGAATAAAACAGCTTCATCTTGTAGGTGTATTTTATTTAAGGATCACTACTTCATGTCTGATGTGCTGAAAGTTATTCATAATCTGTTTGACTGTAATTTTTCATATTTTTCAACTTCTATCCAGCTTTTTAATTAAATCTTGTGCAAAGCATACCCCAGGAAGGGGGATGGAGTGTCAAGTGTGTCTCTGTCCCTGTCAATATAATTTCAAAGCAGTTAGTAAGGTTTGGGTCAATTTTAAATCCTCTTTAACAGAACCATTGGGCTAAAAACAATACTAATGTGAAAGCTTTATCATTAAGTGTAGAGATATGTTCGAAGATTATGTACCCCTAATGTACTGATAGTGTTACATTAGAAGTCCTTCCTCTAATGTAACACTATCAGACTAAAAAAAGAGTTGATAGAATTTAGTTTTTCTTCCATTTTATTTATCAATACATATTTCTGAATAAGAAATATACTTCTACTTCTTGGTTGGGTTCGATCAACATAAAGGGTGATCTTTCTGTAGTCAAGAAAAACATGTTTTATACGGCAAAGAAATGCCTTTATCTAATTGCAGAATGAATAAAATGGACAGAGGCAGAACTCAAGGAGATGCATGAAATGAGGAATATTTCAAAGATTGCCTGAGCATAACCACTGCTACTGGATAAACATATGACAATATAAAAGAGCAGGGTCAATGGAGGTATCATACAGTATAGGCCATGAGAGACCATGAAGAAGAAAGTATTGAACAGAAACAAAAATAAAACCATTTTGACATTTATTGAAATATAGGATCAAAGTCTTACATGTAAAATTTGGGCATGTAATGACTTTTCTCTAGCTCTAAGACTTATAAAAGTGATGATTTGATTTAATATCTTTATCCCGATTTGTCGAAAAGATTTGGACATAGTGCATCAATTATTTTAAAGTTTTGATACAACGAATTCATTCATTGTACTTGTAACTGAGTTTTCTGGTGCGACACTGTTTTATCGGCTTCAAAACTAAGTTTGTGATTTCCAAACCAGATTAATGAGATCATGTAATATCTTTTATTATCGGTGACTATTTAATCCATTCTTTTACATCTCAGAAGAGAAGTATTTTTATTATTACAGGGAAAATATGCATTGTACATGTATCTGTAACAAACAGGATTATAGAAATGTTCTATATAATACAACACAATCTTAGCAACTGAAGGCAAATATTTTATCAAGGGTGTGATCTATTTATCAATTTGGTTTTCAGCATCTTGCTCTACCTGTAATGACTTGCTCCAAGTTCCAATATTTAAATTTTGCAAACATGGTTATAAAATTCTTTAAAAGCCGAATAGTTTAGGCACAAAATGCTTATATATTTCCTATCATTTGTAAAGTGTACACTGAATGAGATGTGGAATGTTAGAATTAAAGTATTAAATATGTTTTGGACTTATGTATGCTTATGCAGATAAATTTGAATTCAACTAGGGAAGGTGAATGTCATACTTCTTGGGTTTGCAATCTAATGCAAGAGTATAGATATCCAAGACAAATTTGACAATTTTAATGAAGGATATAAGTAACCCAAGAAGAATTGGACAGGTAAACATCACCTGTTGGGTTTTATTCTAATGTTGGGATGTAATATCCAAGAAGAGGTGAACCAATGTCCAATACCTATTGGGATTTCTTTCTTATGAAAAAAAATTTGAGTAACCCAAGAAGAATGTCCAATACCTTTTAGTTTATATACTATTGAAGGGATGAAGATATCCAATAGGAATTGGACAGGTGTCCATTACATGTTGGGTAGTATTCTGATGAAGGGATTCTCAAGAAACCCAAGAATTAGACAAGTGTCCATTGCCTGTTGGGTGGGATGTAGATATCCAAAAGGAGTTGAACAGATGTCCATTATCTGTTGGGTGGTATTCTGATGAAACAATTCAAGAAACCCAAGAAGAATTGGACAAGTGTCCATTACCTGTTGGGTGGGATGTAGATATCCAAGAGGAGTTGGACAGGTGTCCATTACCTGTTGGGTTGTATTTTATGAGGTGATTCAAGAAACCCAAGAATTAGACAAGTGTCCATTGCCTGTTGGGTGGGCTGTAGATATCCAAAAGGAGTTGAACAGATGCCCATTATCTGTTGGGTGGTATTCTGATGAAACAATTCAAGAAACCCAAGAAGAATTGGACAAGTGTCCATAACCTGTTGGGTGGGATGTAGATATCCAAGAGGAGTTGGACAGGTGTCCATTACCTGTTGGGTTGTATTTTATGAGGTGATTCAAGAAACCCAAGAATTAGACAAGTGTCCATTGCCTGTTGGGTGGGTTGTAGATATCCAAAAGGAGTTGAACAGATGTCCATTATCTGTTGGGTGGTATTCTGATGAAACAATTCAAGAAACCCAAGAAGAATTGGACAAGTGTCCATTACCTGTTGGGTGGGATGTAGATATCCAAGAGGAGTTGGACAGGTGTCCATTATCTGTTGCGTTGTATTTTGATGAGGAGATTCAAAAAACCCAAATAGAATTGGACAATGTACACATGTTCAATTGTTCTTGGGTAGTTTAATCCCTTCGTCAAAATACAACCCAACAGGTATAGCACACCTGTCCAATGCCTGTTGGATACCTTCATTCTGTCCAACATGTAATGGGCATTTGCTTATTATTAATTGGTCATGACTCAAAAAGGTTTCTCCTTAAATACTTAATTTTGTTATTCAAGATAGGTTGAACAGAGTCTGAGATGTGTTGAGTTGTGTTTTCACAATGCAGTTTTTTTGCACTTAAGTATTCATATATTTTAATATTAGTTATTTTGAAATATACAGGTGTATATCCTTATTGCTAAGAACAAATTAGTTAGGTGTTACAATAAAAGAGCTATATCACAGAAATTGAAAAAAATATGGGTTCAAAACCACAGGTTTTCAGTCTTGTCAAAATTTACCAGCAAATATTAAATATATTATAAATTTGAAATGAATAAAAAACAATAAGAAAAAACCCAATAAAATACGGACAGGAGGATTAATATCCAATAAGATTTGAACAGTAACTACCCAAATAATGCTCTCTCGTGTGTACACTTTTTTTGTATCCAATAAGCAGTATCCAATAGGACTTGGACTTGATGTACCCAATATATAACCAAATGTGTGTCTGTCCGTCTAGCTGTCTGTCTGTCTGTAAACTTTTCACATTTTCGACTTCTTCTCAAGAACCACTGGGCCAATTTCAACCAAACTTGCCACAAAGCATCCTTGGGTGAAGGGAATTCAAGTTTGTCAAAATGAAGGGCCATGCCCTCATTCAAGGGGAGATAATTGGGAATTAATGAAAATTTGGTGGCATGTTTTAAAAATCTTCTTCTCAAGAACCACTGTGCCAGGAAAGATGAAACTTACGGGGTAACATCCTCAGGTAGTGTAGATTCAAGTTTGTTCAAATCATGACCCCCCAGGGGTAGGGTGGGGCCAAAATGGCCGACCAAAGTTTTACATAGAAATATAAAGGAAAATTCTTTAAAAATCTTCTTCTCAAGAATGACAGAGCCATAATTCATCAAATTTATATGAAAGCATCCTCAGGTAGTGAAGATTCAAGTTTGTTCAAATCATGACCCCCGGGGGTAGGGCGGGACCAAAATGGCCGACCAAAGTTTTACATAGAAATATATAGGAAAATTCTTTAAAAATTTTCTTCTCAAGAATGACAAAGCCATAATTCATCAAATTTATATGGAAGCATCCTTAGGTAGTGAAGATTCAAGTTTGTTCAAATCATGACCCCCGGGGGGTAGGGCGGGGCCAAAATGGCCGACCAAAGTTTTACATAGAAATATATGGGAAAATTCTTTGAAGAATAGCAAATCCATGATTGATCATGGAATTACTTTAAATTTGGATTTTAACTTTTCAATAATAAACCAATTTCTACTTTTTCTAAGCTTCAGTACTCGGGTGAGCGATGTGGCCCATGGGCCTCTTGTTATATTTACAAGCGTAATGTTGGAGAAATTCCCCACACGGGCTTAAGAACTACTTAAGTATCTCAAGAGATATCAGAATTGCTGCTACTAGGTCAAACAATTGATTTAAATATGACGAGCAATTTCGTTTAAAAATGGTAAACCAGCCCAAATTGTCATGGGGTCAAATTAACCAGGAATTTTGGCATTTGTATATTTCTAACAAACAAGAAACATATAATCGAACCTCTTCTCAAAGTCAAAGTTCATACCCAAACAATCAAAATCGTACTTCGGCATTTTATTGTAATCATTTTAATAAGGGAGTAAGTTGCCCTTTCTTCCCTAGGTGCAAGTACAGACATGCATGCAGTAAGTGCGGAGCTACCCACCCAAGTATCAGGTGTTCAAAGTAATGGTCTCATATATTCCTTGGGCACAACACCTATGAAATTAACAAATTTGTGTAAACACTTAGTTGGATATTCTGACTGCGATTTCATATTCCAGGGTTTTAAGTATGGCTTTAATCTCCAATATTTGGGCCCCAGGTCACCCCGCGAATCTTCTAACTTCCCTAGCCTGAAGGCTAATACAGTAATGGCGGAAATTAAAATTCAGAAAGAAGTAGTTTTAAAACGAGTGGCAGGCCCCTTTCTTCACCCACCGATTCCAAACTTGCAAGTTTCCCCTTTAGACCTTGTCCCGAAAAAAGACGGCGACATGCGACTCATACACCATCTCTCTTACCCTGAAAACAAGTCAATTAATGATTTTATAGACCCGGAAGCATGTACACTCCATTACAGCAACATAGATCAAGCAGCAGAAATGATAGCTAAGGTGAGGAAGGGGGCCTATTTAGCCAAGACGGACATTAAGTCAGCATTTAGGCTGCTCCCGGTATCCCCAGGCGATTTTGACCTGCTTGGGTTCAAATTTCAGGACAAATACTACTTTGATAAAATGTTACCTTTCGGCTCTTCAATTATCTGCGCATTATTTGAAAGGTTTGCATCATTCCTACATTGGCTCACTCAAAAATACTCCCAAAATGATTTGATAATTCACCACCTTGACGATTTCCTTTTCTGCGGCCCACAAGGCACATCCACTTGCCACAATGCCCTAGATATTTTTAAATCCATTTGATCAGATATTGGTGTCCCAATTGCTCATGACAAAACAGTCGAACCCATCCAAGTCTTAACATTCTTAGGAATAGAATTGGACACAGTCAATATGACTATGAAACTCCCTATGGAAAAATTAAACCAGATTCATGGCATATTAGATTACTTTCTGAAAGCAAAGAAAGTCTCCCTGAGAGAAATGCAGTCACTTATTGGCTTATTAAACTTCGCGTGCAAGGTTATTGCCCCTGGCCGAGCTTTCTGTCGCCGCCTTATCAATTCAACAATAGGCATTACTCAACAGCATTTTCACAGAATAAGGGTAACAAAAACTTTAAAGCTGACCTCACAGTATGGAAAATTTTTTTGCAATCTTACAATGGCATATCTGTCATATCTTCCCAGCCCTGGATTCATAACGTCACAATACAACTATTCACAGATAGCTCGGGGGAACTAATGGGGGGTTTGGCATTTATTATAGCGGGAAATGGGTTTATGGGGCCTGGCCAAGCATTTGGGTGGAACAAGGTATTACTAGGGACATGACTTTCTTGGAACTTTTCCCCGTCGTGGTCACTATTATATTGTGGCAGAGCCACTTTGCCAATTCCAGACTTGTCTTCCACATTGACAACATGTCAGTCGTCCATATCATCAACAACTCTACATCTAAATCTGACAGGGTCATGAATCTTGTCCGCAAGCTTGTGTTAATATGCCTAAAATCAAACATCTGTATTAAGGCCACATATATCCCCACAAAACAAAACTTTATTGCAGACTCCTTATCTCGATTTCAGTGGGGCAGATTCAGGCGACTGGCACCGCAGGCAGACCTATGGCCCACCCCGCTACCAAGCCACATCTGGGAAATATAAAGCTTGAAGCCAATCGATTACTACAATGTTCAATAGCACCATCAACACATCGAGCATACTCAACAGCGCTGAACAAATTTCAAAATTTCCTTTCAGAATTTAATTTACAAATCATTTGGCCAGCACCAGTCCAACAACTTGTGAATTTCATTGGTTTCCTCTCACTTAATAATATGTCGTACAGAACAGTATCACTGTACCTAAATGCAATATCATACATACACAAAATACATGGCTTCCAGGACACAACAAAATGTTTCATAGTTGCTAAAACTCTTGAAGGTCTACGTAGATCAGTAGGTACAACCAAAGACCAAAGAATCCCTATTTCATTTGAGCTTTTTCACAAAATTATCAATTCCCTGCCCAACGTTTGCAATTCTGGATATGAGTCTGCCCTCTTTTCAGCAGCATTTACTCTTACTTTTTATGGTCTGCTAAGAGTGAGTGAAACACTGGCACTTAATTTTTCAGACATCACAATAAAGCATCGAAATCTTTGCCAGATCACGATTCAAAGGTCTAAAACAGACCAAATCGGCCAGTCTATCATAGTAGATATAACCACTCATATGGAATCCATCATTAGCCCAATCACAATCTTAAATAATTTTCTGCTACTAAGGGAGGGTTTACAAAGGAATCACAAGCTCCTTACACATCTAAACTCTAAGCCACTTACAAAGTACCAGTTTCAAGCCATCTTACAAAAAGCATTACAATTCATTGGGGTCAAAGAGCATTTTAGGTCACATAGTTTTAGAATTGGCATGGCAACCGAGCTAGCCAAACAAGGTCTCTCAGATACTGAAATAAAAGCAAAAGGAAGATGGCGATCAACTTCATATTTAACTTACATTAGGAAACAGTAAAACTGTCCCCTGATATTGTAGCACCTACTAACTCTACCAAAGATTTTTCAGGTACCCCAACCATTTGGACACTGGGATCATCAATTCCATTCTGGGCATGCCACCATGCTGCAACCTATCGACCGTGGGGAAGTAACCTTAATTTACCTGCCATGATTACTTGGTAAGTGCGTACTTGGTAAGTGCGTAGGGGTATGCATTGGGATCAGTTAGACAAGGCAGTCTCTGATTATTTACTCCAGTATTCTATATCCAAATTTCTATTGATACACCTTGGGTCTAATGGTTTAACTACACCAGATTTAACAAGTATTAAACTTCTGAATTCATCAAATACAGTGCAGCCTGTATCGCTATAACGCACTTCTCCCAAGTACCACTTTCATATTTTCCTCAATGTTACCTAGGCTCTACTGGCATGGTGCCCCCCCCCCCCCCCCACAGCAGGTGCAAAAAAAAACAAAACAGGGGTCAAGGTTAACAAGTCTATCAAAAAGTTTTTAACCACTGAAGTAAATGGCTGTTACATAAACAATGACTCAACCATTAAAATCTGGGAAATACAATTGTTCAGGCATGATGGTACCCATTTGTCAAAAAACTGGTCTTGAAGTTTACCTAGATAACCATCAGTCTGCTCTCCACATGTTTTTAAACAAGAGAACCAATGTATATCAGCGTTTTAATACAGTACTTAATTTTTGTGGGGGGACATAGTTTCTGTGTCCTGTGGCGGGGACTGGGGGATACTTTTGTGTATGTTGGGATCAAGTGGCCCCATAACCTGGTTGTCTCCCCACCCTGCCTCAAAGCAGGGGGGCGTTTTGGTATGTAATACATAAGTACATGTAGCACATAAGTTGTCTAAAGTAACTTTATTTGGTAACACCCGTTGTTCATGGCCTGTCATGGCTGGTTCCACCTCCACCTCGCACAAGCGGGGGGAGGCCACAGTCTGGTCAAGTAAATAGGTACTTCTGGTGGCGCTGGAGACAGGGAGAAGGGCAGTCCCGCATACACTGGTCCAGAACGTGGTGACCGTTCGGATCGGGCACTTGTGCTTACACTCGGCCCCCCTATGTGCCCATTGTTATTTTGGTACATTTGTAGGTATCCCCAGTCCCCCACAAAAAATTGCGGCCTTTTATATCCAATTATGTTTATTGTAACAAATTTGTGTTTTGTGCTCAAAGTGTCAATAATAAAGTTATAAAACTTAATACAGGTGTTATCATTCCAGGTGTTTACATGATAGGATAGGTCTGATCTGAGTTGTCTGTATGTCTGCTATCCTAGTAGGGATGGACGTAAAACAAAGTGCTTGCACCGCAAGTGCATTTTTAGGAGGGTAGTACAACTAAGCGGAAAGTTGTGTAAAGGGTGGATACTCCCTGTATCTATAATTAATAGAAGGATTAAAGTTGTGCATAGCGGTTTTTGTTTTTCGATTTCTCTATTCAAAATGGCGCTATATAGGGGTCAAAAATTAGAACGCCTAAAAGAGCGAAAATTTACACATATTTTGCTTTTTATCTTCTAAACTAAAAATATTTTGTTAAAACATATAGAACAAACTTTGTGCAGAATTACAAGATCTTTCGAATGATATTTCGAAAAAAGGGCTGATCCCTAAATTAAGGGATCTAGAGGGGCCAAAAGTTTTTTTCCAGATATCTAGAAAAGTATTGAGAATTTGTAATACGTCGAAGAAGCAAAGTTGTTCAAAATGTCAAGTTTAATCTATAGAAGTCGTCAAAATGCGTCCGGCGACGTCACTTCTGGTCACCGGAAGTCATCAGTAAATGCATTTTTTTGCCGTTCTTGACAAGTTTTTGGGTAACATATGTCACTGGAAGCAGAAAACTTAATTTTCCGTCCGTCAACATCACTTCCGGTCAAACCGGAAGTAGCCAAAAATCGCTTATTTTTTAAGGTTTTGATGCAAAATTGAAATTATAAAGTGACTGGAGACGACTTAGCTCATTGCTTTCTTTTGTTGACATCACTTCCGGTCAAAACAGGACGGGAGACCTACACGTTGCTTTGCAACGAGCTTTGCTCTAGTTGTTAGTCTATCATTTATACACCTAATTGACGTTGGATTTTCCCGTTATTTCCTAATCATGACATGGAGTACACGGTGGGTGTGTCTGGTCAGCAGGGGATGCTCACTCCTCCATAACACCTGATCCAACCTCTGATGTTTCGGAGGTCCGTGTTTCCCCTGCTCCTATTTTGTATTGTTATATGGACTTTGAGATTTTATACTGTTCGTTATATCAATATCCTTCGTTTAACCACCGAACATGTATCTCTGCTGGTGGACAGTATGTCCCCGAGGATACTTGTCGTTCGGTACCTATTCATACATAAGTATAAAGAATAACGAAATGATACTGGCAGGCGACGCCCGGTATAAAAAGGCGTCACTCCTTTGAGTCTATGAGGGACACAGACTCAAGGAGTTCTTTTGGTGCCCCTCGGATAATCCTCAGGGATATTAAACATAATTATGTCATATGTACAGTCTTCAGATTCCTATCTTTGATATAAAACTAATACATCAGATAAAAAATTGAAAGAATGTAAGGTTTCTATTACAGATATATTTGATAATTCCTTTCCCGATCCAATGCCCCCTGTTCAAAATGTTCTGTGCAAAACTGTAAACCTGTGACATTTTGGTAACTAACACTTCTCTCACCAGTAATCTTACTGGACAGAACTTCTTTACCCAAACTTGGGTTAGGGTTAGTTTAAAACTGAACTGCAAATTTTCTTGTGTTGTCTATGGAATAGAATGTATTCTGTGTGGACTTGTTTATTTTGGTGAAACTAAGGGATCGTTCAACAAAAAGATACCAGGTCATCTATTTCAGACCAATCACGGTGGCCAGCAGCTTTAATATAAACATTTTATCTTACCTGATCATTCTATTTTGTCCATGAAGTTAGAA